CATCGGGGCCACATATAATAATTGCAAATGTACACATAATATTACTATTCAGACTACACTACTGGGCCAAACTCTAGGCCTGCCCTGGCCCTGTTTCTATGACTCAGGCACACTTCCCCGGCGCTATTATCGCCTACCTTCAATCCCATGCTCTCTCCTTTCAGACAATTTTGTATGCTATCACAATGTTAACAGAGGTCAAGATCCATCAAACCCCTTAAAAATATAAAATGGGTATTAGTGAGGCCAATTTGCCTTACTGAAAGAGCAAAACAAACTAAATGAGTTTCGGTGACTCAGCGATCCAAGATATCCCAACCCCCAAGTAGTACTGAACACAAGTTTCTATTGCAGTTAAATATCAACATGGAAGATGAAGCTAATCAAATAAAACTGACATTATCGTACCTACACAAACCTAAAATTAAGCCAAAGCTTTCGCCAAGATACACTAGTATCTAAGGTTTGAAGCCGATCAGAAGAGAGATTCTCCAGTTACTACGTGGAAACTATTTTTTAATGACTTTGGCAAATTGAAACTTAGCTCAAAATCAATGCTTAGCTTCCACCGAGAAACACCAGTGTTCAAAGGTTGAAGCCAGCCAGAAGATGCATTCTCTAGTTATCACACACAATCCAACAATTCCAAGTTTACTAGCTATGTTAAAATTGGAGGGAGAAGTAATTATTATTACTCCAATTCTACCCTTCCCGTCCACCCCCCCCCCCATACATATCCTGGTCCAAGTCGGACTGAAACACTGTCGTAAGTTTCAGTCTCCTAAGTGCGGGTTATTTGTGTATTTTAAAAACATGGGTGTTACAGTAAACACGAAAAATTGTCACTAAACTTTGGTATTTTCATTATTTATTCAACTATTTGATCGAGATGAACAACTTGGTCGAAGTCTGGAATAAATGAGCATGGAACAAGCCATCACACTCCCCCTCAGGGTGTGTGAAGATTTTTTTTAATATTTATAAAATTTAAAATTAGTACAGATGAGGGTTAAACAAATACATTGGGAGGATCTTGTGGAGTACACTGATACCCCTCCACGAGTTCCTGAACCTCAAGAGGAGCGTAGTAAAGCTATTAATAATAATAATAATGGTTTTTATTTTACTTCAATGACTAACCTTTTTTCTTGGTCTACTGTACCGGTAGTATGGTTTAATGGGAAATTAGTCATGCATGGGCCATGACGTAACAATCACATGAGCATTTCAAACTAAGTAGGAAACATTACATTATGAAATGATGAAGAGATTAGTTCATTGTGAACTATTAAACGACACTTAGAACCGTTAAGTGTTAACAATGCTTGCAGCTCGGGATAAAGCCTTTTTTCTGAATTTAGCACTAGTTCATATATTAATTTAAAGATCAGATTAAAAATGCCTTTTAAATAATTAACCCATTAACATTAATTGCAATACTAACCACATCTGAGGTGGAGGAATTTTCCAGGAAAGAATCTCGGTAAACCAACATGTTGACATAAGCACCAAGAGAGAGAACTGCTGCTTGAAACTGCCGATAAAAAGTTCACAAATTAATTGAACTGTAAAAAAGTACTGTAGAATGACATGCAAACAAGTGACAAATGAACATGAAAACAACACTTAGCAAGGTGAGCTTTCACTAAAAGACATTTCATTTACGTGATTTGATAAAATTCACTCAAAACGATCTCTAATAAAGGTTCATCCTGCTAAGTAATTCTGTAACATTAACATTTAAGACTACATATTCTTTGTGCAATGCATTTCTGGAGTTTTTACAATAAAAACTGTGTAACAAAATAGCTCTACCGTATTGGCTTAGCATTATAACATATTACAAAACAGAAAGAAAAGGTAACGCCTTACTCAGAAATATAATTTCTTCTACGCTGTTTGTGTTCTAAGGAAGGTCTTAATGCAGTCTTAGCCTCGCCGAGAGGTTTATCGTTGTTTAATTTCCTCAGAACGGCTGAATTGTCATCAAATTTTTTAAAGTTCCAATATGTATGTCCAATAAAACCAGTATTACAGATAAACAAAAATGTTATGGGGCCATAGAAGTACAAAAACCGTTCCAGTTCACCTGGGGAAAAAAATGTAGTTTAGCACAACTGTAATAACACTTGGTATGTTTAACGTTAATTTATAGATTTTTTTTGTAATTGTAAATTAGCTACACATTAACATTGTTTCATATGTCCATTACTCTCTGGGAGAATTGATGATGATGTTTAAAGTGCTCAGTACTGCATGACAATGGAAACGAGTGGAGGGTGAGCACATGGACAACGAGGACGAATCCACAGGTGGTTCGGCATATCAGACTCGCTTAAAAATGTCAGGGAGAGACAAAGTAGGACTACCACAGATATGCAGGATTTGGATTTATTTTCATGTTTTAAAACGATCAGAACCATTTAATTATTCAGTGTTTATAATATAGGTGCTGAAATTATTAACACACTATTATTACCAGATTACTGCTACCATGACTAACTTACTATTGTATTACAGAAATCGATATCACAAATCATAATTAAAAATCAATCTTTCGTATGTTACAAACGAGCCTTCAGGAGAGGGAGAGATGGTAGGTGTACTGGGCTGGCTGGGAATGGTAGGCTCTCGAAAATAACAGGACTAGAAACAGTTCGAGGATCTTCACAATCAGTATAGCAGGCCTGGTTGCCTGTCTTACAAAAAGATAATTACGAGTCTTAGGAGTATTGCACAGCAGTACTGTACACCTACGCATATTGTATAATGTATTCAAAATAATTAGATCCCAGAGCTGAGAGATACCACCTACCAAGGGAGAAGCTCATTCAAAGAGCTATGAGATAACAATTACCAAGGATGCTAATCCTAGAGCTGAGAGATACCATCAACCAAGGGATAAGTTTTCTACCATGAAATCTTGTGATTCGAATGGTCACCCAAACTTGAGCATCTAACACCAGCCACTCGGTGATCACTCCTTACAAACTATATGGAAGTTCTACATTTGACAATTACTGCTCTGGCTTCTTGCAGCAACTAAAGTGGCAATAAAGTCCGCAGTCTCTTAATTCCTACCAGAGGCGTTTACTGTCATTACCTGTATACAGAAAGCAAGCCAATCCTGACATGGTTTCTTGGGAGAAAATGTACTCAGTAGTTTTTCTGCACTACAATGTGGTAGGTTTTAAGCTGTGACCTTTTAAGATGTGTCACACTGGATATCTTGAAATAATTAACTATCAAAAGTGTTAAACATATTGAACATTCAGGTGACAGTTCTTGAACGAAATTTGTCACGTAACATCTCTATGGACGTAACATCTTTCTGGCTGGTGGACCATAATGGCTCAACTGAAAGCTAACGAAAACTTGGAACACCGAAAGAGGGTGATGTATATACGGGCCCTCTTGTATTATTTGGGTTAATAACACAGTACCTGCCACGTCTCTAAGAATCATTTTTTCAACGAGTTTCAATTCATTTGAGTTTACAAATTTCATATGTATCCTTCACTTGATTGCATTCAAACATGAGCTTCAAAAATTCAGAAAGATATTACGTCGATAGAGATGTTGCGTGACAAATTTCGTTCAAGAACTGTCACCTGAATGTACAATATGTTTAAGACGTTTGATAATTAAAGTTAACGAAAACGTTGAATACCGAAAAGAGGTGCTGTATATGCGGGGCATCTCGGCACCGTCCATACAGTATTTACTGCTAGGTGCACATGGGTAGCAGGCATGAGACTAGTAGCTGTCAATATGCCTTACCCTACCCAGGTATTATATTTGGTTCTCTCGGATGAGACGAATACACTGCCACCAAGCTACAAGTCTATATCTCAAAATGTGCTCGATTTGCTAGGTTTGATGATAAAGATAATTTTGGGTTTAAGAAAAGTATGACTTTGGGACAGCATTTTGGGAAACAGTATATGCAATACTTTTTAAAAGGGGGAAAAGGGTAGGGTGAAACCGACAAGATTGGAAAAAGAAACTTTTTAATTCAGGACATTTTTAAAAGGGAAAAACTTTTTCCCCCAGAGTGGTTTTTTTCAGCCCTAATCCCAGAGATCAGATCAGATCGGGAAACTACAGGAAAGGCCCCCACAAAGGGGCGGGGGGCAAGTGGGGGACGTGCAAGAATAGATGGTGAGGGGAAAATGTTTTTTTTTTCGATTCGAAAAAGAGAAAGGTCGGGACTAGCCCCAAAACGCTAAGGGCCGGGGAAAACAATGACGAAGCCCGACATAGAAGACAGCAGGAATCTGGGGGTTTTGCTGACTGCAATTTGCTGGAGGGAATTTTGTTGCTTCTTGATGTTTTTTGGAGGGGGGCAGAAGCTGGAGGCTTTGGGTCAAGGGGGGCTTTTTGATTGGCCCAGGTGTCTTTAAAAAGTGTGAGTCAGGATTTTAATCTTTTTCAGTTTTGGGGGCCCAAACCCTTTGTTTGCGGGTTTTTGGGGA